GATGCATATAAACGATGTAAAGGTGATACTTCAGAAGATTTTTGACAACAGTTTTTGTTGAATATGGATTTCCAGAATACTATCAAAAGTCTTAAGTCTGCATGTTTTGTAATATGTGGTCGGTATCATATTCGCTTTGAAATCAAACGGCAATGCACTAAACTAACGATAGGATACATAAATGTAAAATATAATTCTGCATTTTAAAGAATACCAGTAATTATATATATTATTATTGGTGACAGGTGCTTAACAAACATCAAATTGGATCTTAATATAACAAAGATTTTTGGAAAGGAAATTAATACAAAATTTTGAAAATCGGTCTGCCATTGGCGGAGATATTAGTGAATACACGTTTAAAAAATTATAATAATTATGATTTGCTTATTAAAATAAATAAGATTAGTTATATGTATAATGTTTTTAATTACGTACGCTGCTTACTGCAGTGTTCTCATATCGAACTCACCAATATTGTTTCAAGGAAAAATAAAACCAACCCAGTTATTGTGATTGGATAAAAGCTCTTTCATTGTTAATCATAAATGCGCATAAAGCTAATGGGAATTCATTCATTTTCTTTTTACCGCCAAACTACACTTATCTAAATGCTAACATATTATTTTGGAAGAAAACTCATTCGTACATAATATATAAATAGATTAGCTCTGTCTATTATTTTAACTCCCAAACTAAGACAGTGACTTCGATCGGCGAAGGTAAGCTGGCTAGCAGTGTTTTCTGTATAAAATCAACCTCGAAGTAGACGTCGAGCGCAACGTTGTTCCAAAACAGACGGTTGATTAAAAATAATAAAGGTTTTAGTGAACCTCTTTGCTTTGGTAGCACTCGTACTCGACAAGATGTCAACAACCAAAAGATACAATCGAACATAATAGAAATTTTAAAAAGAGATATTTGTAATTAATTGGTTGGAGTAGTTAATTAGACGCTGAAACAAAATCTGAGCTAATGACCATTCCTTAGTAAACATACTGGTTTTGTGAAGTAACGGCTACGTTAAACCTGATCGTTTTATAATGATATGCAAGATTAAAACTTGTCAGGTTTTTGACCCGACTATTTCTCTTTAATACAACATATCGCCACAGTTCTTGGCGATTATTGATATATTCATCATCGAATAACAAAAATTGTGTAAGCTTTTATACACTCATAACTCGTAAAACTCGGCTTTATTAGTCGATTTTTATATTGTCCTTTAACGTAAGAGACAAGTAAATAAATATAAGTAATCTTAGACGAATAAAGTATTTTAAGAATAGGCAAGAAAACAGTCAGCTAATTTATAAAATTAATGTTTATTTTCATTATCACGATCTTTTGTATATGAAGTAAGATAATTTATAACTAGATGCGAGCGGTAATTGTCACTTTATATGACAAGTAACAAAGATTTTATTCTGGTCAATTTTTGGATAACTGTGTTTCATTGATGGTCATGAACCTAACTAGTGAGATAATAATTTGTATTTTAGTGCAAAATAATTCTCCTAAAAGTTATCAAAAGATGCATAACTGACATCTGGACTCAAAGTAAAAATCTGACTGTATTGGCGCACATTTATTTATTTATTGAGCGCATTTGTAACATAATTATTGCATGCATATACATACATCATTGAGACAGTACTGTCTCAATAACGTATGAGTCCATCATATTAAAATAATAAAATTGTGAATAACACGACAAAAAGAAAACTAATTTCAGCAATAGGGATCACGACTAATTTTTGTTTATTTGTCGTTCAGGTATATTGTTGAAAAATATTAAACACATTAAAATATTGTAATCATTACATTACAGCGATAGGTTGAGTCAAAATGTCAAATGACGTCACGCTTTTATACATTTTCTACAAAACTGTGACGTAACGAGCCTTCACTCCTCAACTTTAATGCCTGTTATCTAAGCTATTTCTCGTACACATATCTAATATATTTCTATTATCTGAGTGAGGGACTAAATAGTTTTTTTTTTTCATCCAGTCGTCAACCCTATTGATAATAAAATATATCAATATTAGTCAATAATGAGTACCTAAAGCCCGTGTACAAAGGTATCACAAAACCCAGACCCGAGACAATATAGAAAAGCCAATTTTCTCCATCGAACCAGGGACCTCCGATATGGCGACTCCTTGAAACCGACTACGGAGGTTGAGTGTTTAGATAGGTAGAATGGATTTTATTACCTAGACAGACATTACATGTCGGACACATGCAAAAAGCAACCACGGATCCATTTCGGACCTCATAAAGACCAGATATGATTGAGCTCAAAATATTTTCTCCACTATTATTTTGTACCTAAATTAGAAATTTTCCGTACAATCAATGTGCCTTATACTTATTTTAGGTTACAAATTAACAAAATATGTTCCAGTTCGTATATTCAATTACAATAAATATGTAGTATATAATCATGTAAATAAATGTTGGCATTTACACCGGATACGTTTGACGGAATGGACGGCAACCTTTTTTTATACCGTTTTTTTTTCAATTAGAGTTATATGTAAACAAGCTTCTACATAACACATAAAGCACATTTCCTTGTATTTTCTAATTCGTACAATTCAGTACGTTCAACTACTCGTTTAACATGACTCAAATCTGAACTCTACTAGTAAGACTTTTGGTTTATATTTTAACTAAAATTCGCTACTCCTGTAAGTTTCGAAATTGTTCAAAAATTGACCATACATCGATGCGTCATTTCACTCCTATCACAATACAACTCTAAGCGAAGCAGCACAGTAAAATACGTTGAGCGATACTGAAGTGAAAGGTTGCCAGAACGAAATGGAGATACAAAACTGGTTCCAATGCTTCAGAATGCAAGTAACTGGATAAAAACACGGCGTTAAGAGGAACCAGTCGTAGGAGGTGCGCCTGCTCTGCGAAAGATTGCTTAAGGACGTCTGTGCCGCATAAATTCTGGAAACTAAACATAGTATTGCTTATATGCTGAAAATCTGTTATTTATTTATTATATATCGTATATTAAAGTAATTAGATATAACTTCGTATATTTAATTGTGTATTTTGTCTTAAAATGTTCCTCTCTATTAATTTTAAAGGCTAATTGACAGTAAAAATGATAAATATTTACCATTCTTTTCTAAGAGCTTTTAATAAAGAAGGAAAAATGTAGTTTAGTCCGTGATTGAACAACATACGTTTATAGTTGGTAATATACAAAACACGCTTTTTAACAGCACTCAACCCCCGGGTTGGCCTCAAAAAGAACAGCATGTACTAATTTGTGCAACGAAAAGGCTCTGCCTGCACGCAGTATGTGGGCGCCTCGTCGCAACAAAACACAGCGGATGGAGTTTACCGACAGCGTTTTATTACCAAATGGTTTATAACAGCGGGTTCACTCTCACCGAACATTATTGTTACATAGTTTTGAAGATTGAAATCGGTGCAGCGACCGCGACGTCATATCTACACTTGAATACAATCGACCTATGTCATCTGGGTCGACCGGACAACGAGTTTCTACTACCCACACGACAAACGACCGAAACTTTAAAACCATAAATCCCTGGCGTACACAGTGCGCCTGCGCACGGCGAATTTTGAAATCAAAAATGTGTTGTGTGCGTTCGCACCACAACAGAAAGACATTATTATCTGAACGGTTACATCATGTTTGGTGTTTTCGAAAGTAAAACGAACGATTGGTCTGTCTCATTGGAAAGATCATAAATCAATGATTTGAGCCCTACTGAAACCAAAAATAATGCTGAATATATCAATATTGCATATCGAGTTGACCCTACAAACAGAAAAAAATTACTGATCACATTAAGAAAGTCAGCGTCGTATGTAAAAAACACTAAACTAAAACGTATCATATGACGAGTGGAGTTACTCCCCCGCATGAAGATAGAAATATAGTCTATTATTTAGACGAGCAGGTAAATTAACGTTGCACCTTGAATTGTAACCGCGTTATTTCTATAGAGATCCTTTACAAAAAACTGTGCTTTTGTTAGTCGAACACTCAAAAGCTCTCAACTGTCAAGACGTGCATATACAACCACAAACTCTAAGGCCGAAAGTACAAATTTCAACGACATCATCTTTCAAGTATCTACCTAGCCATGGATCTTTTGTGTTCTGCAGGTTACAAAAGTATCGCATAACGTAAACCTCGTTAATTAAATACTTACTTATACAAAAATGTGACAAAACACAGAAAATTTTTAAAACGAATTCAAAAACTTTTTAAGACATAGACATGTATCGGTTAGTGTAAGTTGTCAAAATTAATATCAAAAGTTATTCTTAAACAAAGGTAAAACATGTAACAACAGATGTGGTCCCGAATAGCACAATTGTGTATTTGTTAGCTCGTTTCAATAACAATCTGACCAACGGTACATTTCTGTGACAATATATGCTTTATTTCTTATTTCGTATTACACTGTCGGTTCACCTCCATATATCTGTATGTTGTCGCTGCGAACCCGGCATTGTAGTTATTTCATAGCTTAGTCACGGATAGCGGTGTTACGTGTATCGTAGTAGAGAAAACAGGCTCTAAGCCCGCCCACACGGCACCGCCTCTTCGTTAGCCGCGCAGTTCCTAACTTGTCGATCAGCCGACCTACAAACGCTTTGTTTTTATTTAACATATTGACAACCATCTAATTTAAGATCGAGGTGAAATAAATAATCCCTCTAAGTCACGTCTCTTATTGACTTTATTTTTTCTTCGAGATTTACTTATAATTTACCATCTTAAAACTTAGTGGATGAATCATTATACATTCATGATAATTTTCCTTCTTGAGAGTTCTAAGAAAAAATCATAGTGCGTGGGACATAATATTAATGACTTTAAGATTCCAAATAACTACGTCAAAATATCCAATACTCCGTTATGAGTGTTCATTTCTTGTTTTTTTAGTAAATACATTAAATAAAACTTATTTACTAAATTTTCTTTTTTTTCTTTTCAGTATGCATTGGGACGAACGGACGGATGTCGGTTCCTTCGAATCGCGATACGCACTACCGGAATCTTCGAGACCGCTTTACAAACTGTACCTACGTCGACGGCAACCTCGAGCTGACATGGCTTCAGAACGAGACCATGGATCTATCCTTCCTCAAATATATAAGAGAAGTGACCGGATATGTTCTCATTTCACACGTAAATGTACGTCAAATCATCTTGCCACAACTGCAGATTATTCGTGGTCGAACATTGTTCAAACTCAACATAAGAGAAGAACAATTCGCTCTTTTAGTTACAATGTCCACAGCCTTTACCCTAGAATTGCCAGCGTTACGAGATGTACTGCGTGGCAGTGTCGGCGTTTATAATAACTATAATCTATGCCATGTGAAAACCATCAATTGGGATGAGATCATAACTGGCCCCAACGCTACCTACGTGTTTGTATACGACTTCCAAGCGGCGGAAAGAGCATGTCCACGATGCCACGAAAGCTGCGAAGCTGGCTGTTGGGGAGAAGGTCCTGAAAATTGCCAAAAATTCTCGAAAATTAACTGCAGCCCACAGTGCGCTCAAGGTCGTTGCTTTGGACCAAACCCTCGAGATTGTTGCAATACATTTTGTGCCGGTGGTTGTACCGGTCCTTTACCCAGTCAATGCCTCGCCTGTAGAAACTTTTACGATGAAGGCACTTGCTCCCAAGACTGCCCTTCTATGCAAATATATAACCCGACAAATTATTCCTGGGAACCGAATCCAAATGGAAAATATGCGTACGGTGCTACATGTGTACGAAATTGTCCGGAACATCTTTTAAAAGATAACGGCGCATGTGTTAGAAGTTGCCCTCCGAATAAAACCGCAGTAAACGGAGAATGTATACCATGTAATGTAACCTGTCCAAAAACATGCCGTTCAGAGAGACCAATACACTCCGGAAACATAGAAAGTTTCCGAGATTGTACTATTATAGATGGGTCAATTGAAATTCTGGAAATGACATTTACGGGATTTCAACATGTAAATTCTGATTATTCATTCGGTGAACGTTATCCTAAGATGGAACCAGACGCCCTTGAGGTATTCAGCACTGTACGCGAGGTGACAGGGTACTTGAATGTTCAAGCTGTCCATCCTAATTTTACAAGTCTTTCATATTTCCGCAATTTGGAAGTTATTGGAGGACGTCAAGTAGTAGAGAATTTATTCGCCTCTTTGTACATAGTCAAGACTTCTCTTAGATCGTTGGGATTGAGATCGCTTAAACGGGTGAACTCTGGTGCTATTGCCATAATGGAAAATCGTAACCTCTGCTTTGCTGAAAAGATAGCTTGGAATAAGCTGGTCAAATCGAAGGATCATAAACAGATCATCCAGAAGAATGGTGATCAAAGAACATGTGGTGAGTTTGCTATGCGATATTTTTAACACTTGAGGATCCTCAAATAAAGTTACTTAGTTATTTATGCAAAAGCGATTATAACAATATTCTTGTATTCTGTTTGTCAAATTTGTATTTACTTTTATTGATAATTGTGCAAGCGAATGTTTAAATTCTTAAAATTGTGATAACAACTAACCGAACTAACAGCTAATGCTAAGCCAAGCTGTGCGTTTGTAAATCCAAGAATAACACCTGATATAATTAAAGATCATTTGTAAATGCCAGAATATCTTCAACCACACTCATCACATTATGGTAATAAACAAAAATATTAATGTTCTTGTGGTTTTATCGTTGAAAAAATAGGATATTCTTGGATTTAAGTCTGTGATTATTACTTCATATCCAAATAGCTTGTTCATAATTGACTTGTTCAACAGAAAAAGCAAATTTAGTGTGTGATCCTCAATGTTCCGCGGACGGTTGCTGGGGGCCGGGACCAGATCAGTGCCTCTCGTGTCAAAACTACAAAGTTGGCGAAACCTGTATTCAGAACTGCAGTGTACAGCCAGGGTAGGTTATCATTACTTATTTAAAGATTTATGAAAAAATAATTTGTTGTCTGGTAGAGATCCCTCTAAGCGATAAGACTGCCAATTGTTACACTGTAATATTAATATAGGTATGTAAATTTCTGTATCCATAGTGTTGACAATAAAGAGTTATTCTATTCTATTCTATACTACATACATGTCACATTAAATCTAAATATGATATTTTTACTACACTAAAAATTAGTCACCTCGCAGCAATTTACTTCGCAAATCTTACTATAATAAATGTTTAAATAAGTGTTATATATTTATATGTTGATTGTTTGCATTTCAGATTATATCAAGCTGGTTCCAAACTGTGTAGACAGTGTCACTCGGAGTGTATAGACGGATGCACAGGTCCTAGCCGAGCGAATTGCACTAGATGCAAACATGTCCGTGACGGACCGTATTGCGTAGCTGAATGCCCTGAAAGTAGATATCCATCAGGAAACGGTACTTGCGAATCTTGCCATTACAATTGCTTCAATGGATGCACTGGCCCTGCCAATACAGTCGCCGAAGGTGGGTGTAATTTTTGCAAGAAGGCAATCATTAGTGTTGAAGCAACTGTTGAAAGCTGCCTTGCAGAAAATGAACCATGTCCAGACGGTTATTACAATGAATGGGTGGGTAACGTAAAGCCTTTAGAAGGCAAAGTAAAAGTAGTTTGTCGAAAATGCCATCCACTATGCAAGAAATGTACTGGTTTTGGTATTCATGAATTAGTGTGCAAAGAATGCAATGGATATAAGAGAGGGGACCAGTGTGAGGATGAATGCCCCACGGACCATTTTACTGATGAAAAATTCAAAACCTGCTCGCCATGTCACCATGAATGTAATGGCTGCACTGGACCGTCCTCGACTGATTGTATTAAATGTCATAATCTAAAAGTGTTTCTTGTCGAATCATCTGATAATGTATCAGCTTTCAACTGCACTGATACTTGTCCTGAAAGCCTTCCACATAAGATTTATTTCGATGAATTACATCAAAATCCAATCGAAGAACCTTTTTGCTCTAAGTTAGCCAATGGTTTACCTAATATGACCACAGCTAGAACACCAACAGTGTTAATAATAATTTTAATCATAGCTTTCTTACTATTAGTGATTCTTGGAATAATAGGTTATACTTGTAGACAAAAAGCAAAAGCAAAGAAAGAAGCGGTTAAAATGACCATGGTGCTAACCGGTTGTGAAGATAACGAACCTTTACGCCCAACCAACGTAAAACCTAATTTAGCGAAACTGAGAATTGTAAAAGAAGCTGAACTTCGTCGAGGTGGCATGCTTGGTTTCGGTGCATTTGGAAAAGTGTACAAAGGTGTATGGGTCCCAGAAGGAGAAAATGTTAAGATTCCAGTTGCAATTAAAGTTTTGAAAGAAGGTACTGGAGCAAATACCAGCAAGGAATTTCTAGAAGAAGCTTACATTATGGCAAGTGTTGAACACCCTAATTTATTACAATTACTAGCAGTGTGTATGACAAATCAAATGATGTTGATAACGCAGCTTATGCCATTAGGTTGCTTGCTTGATTACGTAAGAACTCATAAGGAAAAAATAGGATCTAAAGCATTTTTAAATTGGTGTACTCAAATTGCGCGTGGCATGGCATACTTAGAAGAGAAACGTTTAGTACATCGTGATTTAGCAGCTAGAAACGTATTAGTACAAACTCCAAACTGTGTCAAAATAACAGATTTCGGTTTAGCTAAATTATTAGATATTAACGAAGATGAATATAAAGCTGCCGGTGGCAAAATGCCAATAAAATGGTTAGCATTGGAATGCATACAACACAGGATATTCACACATAAAAGTGACGTCTGGGCATTCGGTGTAACCATTTGGGAGATATTAAGTTACGGCGCACGTCCATACGAAAACATTTCGGCAAGGAATGTTCCGGAGTTGATAGAAAATGGCTTGAAACTACCACAACCCAGTATCTGTACATTGGATATATACTGCATCATGGTATTATGCTGGATGCTGGATGCAGACAGCAGACCAACATTTAAACAACTAGCTGATACGTTCGCTGAAATGGCAAGAGATCCGGGCCGATATCTCGTGATACCAGGAGATAAGTTCATGCGTCTCCCATCCTATTCTACTCAGGTAAATGTATACAATAGCAACATTACATACAATAATTTATTATGTTAAATAATACGAAATGACTAATACTATTTTTTTGTGAATTTCAGGATGAAAAAGAATTGATAAGAAATTTATCATCAGCAATGGAAGGACCAGAACCACTTGTTGAGGCCGATGAGTACTTACAGCCCAAATTCAAGACTTTACCGGGAACAGCGACCACTTCAGTAGTAAGTGTCGGTATCGAGACACAAACCAGTTCCCTCAAACCTTGTACGTCGTCGTCGTGGGCTAATAATGGAACTGGACCTGATTGTGTCACCACAGACGGTTCTAATAAACCAGAAATTTGGGATCACGAACTTTTAAGATACAATCACCAAAATAACACTGATGGTCCCGAAATGCGGCATTACTATAACAACGGTGTCTGCGCCACGGACAGCTCAAGTTCGAGATACTGTAGCGACCCTATGAAAATCCGCCCGGACGGTACACTAGAAGGAAACTTTGATACAATATCGAAAACTAAAGAAGCTCAAGTGGGTAATCTAAAATTGAATCTTCCTCTGGATGAAGATGACTATTTAATGCCATCACCACAACACAATCAAAACTCATCAACATACATGGATTTGATTGGAGAGGGTGGTGAGAGTCAAGACGTGAAAGAACTCCATTTTAGTAGCTTCGTGGGCCCAAAACGATGTGTCGACAATCCGGAATATTTAATGTCGGATGAAAGCGTCCCGGCTCAAACGTTAGGCATTCCCACGGAGCCAGTTCCTCTAGAGTCTTTGTGCGTGAGTGAAGGTAGCGGAAGCGAGAGCACACCTCAGCCTGGCACGAGCAAATACCTACCGCAGAGGTCGGTCGAAGAGGAGTCTATGTCGGATCACGAATACTACAACGACTTACAACGTGAACTTCAACCCCTCCGGCGAAACGAGACTACAGTGTGAAAGTTTCTTAATTACAGTGTGATGATATTACAACGTATAGACTGATCTCCCCTGAATAATGACTGTTATAAAATTAATGTGCGCATACGCACTCTCCGTGCCATTGGTGTGATGGCTAGTGTTAGCTTGTTGGATTAATTCAACTATGAATTTTATTGTAGTTATAAACACTTATTTTTGTTATTTTTTTCTACTTAATTTTGTTGTATAAAATCTGTTTTTTGTAATTTGTATAAATATTATTTCATTTTATTAGGTGCTCGCACGATGCTCTTAACAATATATAACTTATTTATTAATTTAATTTTAAGGAAGGCTATGTTTACGTTACTCAAGTGTGGCGTTAAGTAGCTATGCGAGTGTTATTTTAATTTTAAAACTGTGATAATTAGTTTAATTTTAATAAAGAGACCAGTGAAGATTTTGTTATTAGTGCGTGAACAATATATTAAAAGAGAGTGCTGCCATTTGAACATAAGTGAACCTGATACAGGACTACTGTGAATAAACAAATAAGTTCTATGAACATTCCTATACAAACATAAGTTTTGTTTGAGGTTCAATTAAAGCATTTATTTTGATCAAAATATACAAACAATTCCAATATCATTCCTGCTTTTGTTTCATAGTGTTACAAACTTTATAAAACATCGATGTAACTAGAATTTTTTATTGGTAATACTTCTCTTTTAAATGGGCTTAGCTTGCCTTCACTCGTCTATTAGTCTTCAAAAAGAACAATAACATATGGTTATTGTTATCTTTATACCATAGAGCTTTGTCATTATCTCCCAAACTTAAAAGTTCCTTAAAAGAAAAATGAAGTACATTTCATTGGGAGATTTTATGTCGTCGAACGCAATTGTAGAACCATACTTTGTATAATACTTATAGCAAACAATAATGAGTGTACATAAAATTATGCACTTTTTAAAGCAAACCACAAAAGACATTATTGTAAGTGTATTAATATAGGAGCTGTCTCTAGCACAAAACCAGCTCAAGTTATCCCAACTGAAATGCAAATACATTTTATATACTAAGTATGTTATACTAAATAGATAAGTATTTTATGTTTGGACCAAACTAGATTGCCATGTATTATGTAAATAATATAAATTTATCGCTACGCTATTGTATATAAACATATAAATTATATTAAGTAATCTGAGAACCATATTTTGTATGTACTTGCAAATTAAATGAGTTTCTTTAATATATCATCCGCGTTATAAAAGCTCTAAATTATATTGTGCCATTACATATAATGAAATAGATATAAATTTACAAATAATTATAGCTACAAATTATATACGTGATTTGTAATGTTTATGCATGACTAGAAATTAAAGTTATTGTTCACTAAACAAATTTTGGGAATGTATAAACATGTGCAGTTTGTGTGGTAACAGCATTTCACTCAATATAAATGTATAGTACGCTTTACATGGCTAACATATTGTTTTGTGTGTAGATAAACCAACGCGTCGCAGTGAATATGATTTATGTAGGTACCTACTTGTACCTTGATAAATGAATTTTAAATAAAATATTACTCCTGTTTTTCATTTATGACCCTACAATGATGATTTTCCTAAGGTTCAATGACAGACAGTTAGTATCAGATCGAAACGTCCATAAGACAATTTAGGATCTTGCATGCAAGTGAAAATACAGGTTTCTGGTATATAATAAAAAATGTATTACCATTTTAACTCATAAATAATTAACAAAAAAAAAATATTATTACACTTTATAATTTGAAAAAAAAAAAGTGAAAATACATTACAAACAAATTTCAAATTATCGCAATCAAAATTCAATTTATTCAAATGTCAAATGAAATTGATTATTTTAACCTGAATGACGTGATGTTGACTGTACCTACTGAATACGAACGTGTGCAATACTAGTTTAGAAGGTATGTCATGTTGTATTCTATTTTTAATAATTTTAAGACTACCAACAACGCAGTTTATTCACTACAGAGCCTTTGAATTATTCCAAATCTCTAATAAGGAGTTATTAAATTTATAAAATACCACGTGTAATTTTTTAGGGATCCGTACCCAAAGGATAAAATAGGAAATCTATTACTAAGACTTGGCTGTCTGTCTGTCTGTCACCAGGCCGTCTCGTGAACCGAGAAAGTTAGTTGAAATTTCACAGATGATGTACTGCTGTTGCCGCTTCAACAACAAATACTAAAAACCAGAATAAAATAAATATATAAGGGGATTTCCATACAAAACATTTTTTTTTTTTTGCTTGATATTGATAACGACAAAAGGCATAGACTTGAAATAATTACAGAATATGTATTTAGTTAGTAAGTTTAAAAATAAATATAATTAAACAAATATTTAATACAACAAACGTGATTATTTTGCTCATTTCCGGTACGGGACCGGTTCATGCGCTAGTCTGACTCGCACTTGGTCGGGTTTCTTTAAATGAGTAATGTACGCATTAATGTTAGCATAAACTTAAACAATGTTCTGTAATTATATTTTGTGAGATTAAATTTTTCCGATGGTATTAAACATCCTACATATCGCAGGTGAAGCCGAAGTCGCGGGAAAACATGACTGTTTAGTATATTGAGAGAATAGAGATACACTTGCATGTTCTGTGTTATGTAAGCATCGTCATCTATTTTAAAGTGAATACTTGATCCATCTAGGCCTTTGTTTATCCGTCCATTACGGATAACGGACAAATAGACAAGTTACGTAGTTCCAAAGATAAACGAGAGGCTTTGTGACAGTGTTGGGCTAACGTTAGTCTGGCCGCGAAACGCTATATCTTCTGAAAGATAGCACTTTATAATCTCATTCCTGTAAAACGTAATTTCATTTTAGCATAACTTCATAAAACATAATATTTTTTGTCCTCGACTTGTCCTGCACTAATCTAACATACTAAAGTGGAATTAATTACGCCAATGATCTCTTCAACCACAAAGTACAATATTTCATTGCTCGAACTATCCCAAACGCCTAATGGTAAATTCAACAGAAGTTACGCATTTAACTTTGATCCACAATAACTCCGACTGTATATTTTAACACGTCATAAGTCTTTCATCACAATGATATGAGACAAGCACATTCGATTTAAACTCACAGGAAGTCAAAAGTTTTAATGTTTTATGAATTCATGCTAAACTAACTTGACGTTTTATAAGAACGAAACATCTGAAGTCAGCCCAGCAGCAATACAAAGACCCTCGTTTATCTCTGAAACTACATAATTTGCTTATTTAACTTTATTTCATAACGCACTGATAAATAATGAACTAGACGTATCAACAATACATTTCAAACGCGAAGGCAGTGGCGCTGCTAACTTTTACACACAGCCGCGTTTGAGAAGTTTACCAATATTTGCACTAGTCGAGCACTAATAACAACAACTTATCTACACGGGTTATAGGATTCTACTTATCTAGAATTCTATAACACGGAGTAATTTTTCCAACTTTTGATTTCGAAAATAAGTAACTTTGGCTAATCATTCTAATTTTTTTTGGGGGTTTTCTGTAGGTTATTAATTAAATGATGACCGTCGACTTCAACAGCATTTTTTTTTAATAAGTCGCTCTTGAGATAAGTATTATTTTTCACTTTTTTAAGTTTGATGTAAGTTTTATTTTTTGTAAGTTTTTATTTAATGCTTTTTAGCATAATAAGTAACTCTAAAAATATTTTTCTGAAAACCGCGTCAAAATTGGTTCAATCAAACGCGAGATAATCGCGCACGAATATTCACACATCAACATCGTCTAGGGATATTTTGTATAAAGTTCTAAATTCAAAAAATACTGGCCGATTTTAAAGTCTTTTGATGAAAACCTATTTTGTACGCCTTTTTTGATGACTCCAAATTTGAATTTAAAAAAAAATCAAACAAAAAATTTTCGTGGCTTATTTAAAGTGAAGTTCGAAGTTTTCAATTTACCTACCATAGTTTTTGAAGATTTTTTGTGTTCATCGTAAGTTTTAAAACAAGTTAGTATGCATTATGCAGCGACGCCATATAACAAGAGAGGAAGTGTTAAGGGCACTAGGCAAGCTCCAAGCTGGGGCTACAAAAAACGCTGGTTGACATCGGAACACAACAAGACGTGATATCACGGGTAGGTTCAAGTTATCGTGCTACTGGTGAAGTGGCTGAAAGACATCTAGGCACGAAGCGCATAACCACCCAACGACAAGACCGATTTTTGCAAATTGCTGCGAGACGGCAATCAAATGTTACGGCCAGAGATGTACAAAATACCCTGTACAAAGTATCTGGAATACAAGATACAAAATACTTTTAAATTAAGTATTTCAGATACCAGATACGAAATACTTTCGAGAAAAGTATTTGAAATACTAGATACAAAATAGGTATCTTATAGATACTTTTTATAAATACAAATACTTTTCTAAAAAAAGATTTGATTTTAAGTTTGTTTATTAAAGACCACAAAAACCTAAATCTTAGACCAAATGGTTCCAGGGACAAAGTGGATTTTTTTAAGCATTTTTCATTAGAAACAATTTTTGTAAGCTTTTATTTAGTTTTCTGTGTTTGTACTCAAATCTTACAAGCTAAATTTCACCCACTTTTCCTCCGTTTTATTTGTTTGTCAATCACAACGTAACATATAAAAATGCAAATATTTAATACACCAGGTTTAAATTATTTTAAATTTTTTAGTTCCTTTTTAATAATATTTTTTTTAAATATAGCATTGTGAATGAAAAATTTCTGAAATATAACAACAAGAATAATTATTTAAATTTAATTATAAAATTATTATTTATTTAAAAAGCTGGTTTTACGTACGACGTAAAATGACGGAGAACTGAAAATTCATTTTTCCTAGTGAGATGAAGAGAGTGGGTAAAAATAAATACAGTACTTGGTTTTTAAAATTAATGGCGTGACTTGTGACGAGGTGAATGTGCGATAGTATGTAACAGAACGTATATTAACTTTTTTTGCAGAACTACTGAAAATTATGCCCCTTTAGTGTGTTAAGCTAATTTGAAAATTTTTAGTAGAAAATACTTAGCTTCTGTGGTTGATTATAGTACGTTGGTTTGTAGGAAAGGCTTATAATACGTAGATATACCTAAAAAGACATAGAGTTCTTCTGATCGGGTAAATCCGGATTTGAAGTATTAATTAAGTCTTTATCTATGAAATTTCCGTTTTTAATAAAATAAATGAAGCTTTATTTTCTTATTTCTATTAATCAAAGTAATCACCCATGCAATCAATACATCTTTGCCAACGCATTGGTAGCTTAATGATGCCTTCTTGAAGAAATCAGCTGGACGGGAGGCAACAAATACTTCAAAGGCATTTTGTACTGCCTCTCGGGAATTTATTTTTTTCCCGCTAAGACGTTATCCAAATTCTGGAAGAATTAGAAGTCTGTAGGCGCATGGTCTGTTAAGTACGGCGGATGACGGAGAACTTCAAACCCCAGCTCTTGTAGCTTGAGTACCGGCAATTGTGTAGTATGAGGTCGTACGTGATCGTGCAGGGGCTCTATTTTTGAATCATTCGTCTCGCGTCGAGCGCTCGTTTTCTACTGATTTTCGTTCGACTTAACAAATTCGCCATTTCTAAATCGCTCGACTGCAACGAATGGTATGAACCACTCGTCGCTTAGCGAACGTTGTATGCGAGTGATAGTAGAAAACGAGCGCTCGACGCGAGACGAATGATTCAAAAATAGAGCCCCAGGAGCAGTGGAACCGAACGATTGACAAAACTTGGTTGGAGTTGTGCCAGCTTCTCCGTCATTGTGTTTGACAGCACTCGTTTCCGAACTACTGAAGATTTGTCAGTATTTTTTTTTTGTATTATGCCTCATAATGCGAATATTGTTTTTTTTTTTCGCTCATGAATATGCAGTGGTCAAAAGATAGAAAAAGATTAACTGTTGAGTCAATAAAAGCAATATTGCTTTGCTCACGGGATATAATTTCAAGCTTATGCCATGTATCGAATTTCACAGTGAAATTTCTTTAAAAATAAACTTTTGAATGCTGTTGTTAGTGGAAAAAGTATAATGTGCAAAAAAATAATAAAATTTAATAATGAGTTTAATTGATATACTGAGTTTTATTTAAAGCATATAACCGGGTTTTTACATAAATCAAGATTTTTTATTGCTTGTAACTGGTTATTCGATTTCAAGCCCTATGCGCCATCTAACAATTTTTACTAGGGAGGGTGTATTACACCGGTATAACCGTACGTTCAGTTCTACGCATTTACTTTTTAAATGACACCAAACAATGTTTGGATTCGAGTCATTTTTAACTAAATATTCATTGCGTTGATAATTGAACACTTTCTTTTTGTAAATGTGTATGTTTTAGGCATAGAATGTTTTGTGATATTTATAAAATGTAAGAAATAATCTTTTTATAAAGTATTTTATCAGAAAAAGTATTTAAAAGATACTAAGATACTAAACAAAAGTATTTAAATACAAGATGAAAATACGTATTTTGTATCTTGTATCTGTATTTCAAATACTTGTATCTAAGATAAGTCACATCTCTGGTTACGGCCATGCAGTTGATTTAAAAAGACTGCATGGAGCTAATCTTCATTCTCGCAGGCCGCTTCGTACTCCTGCACTACGATGAGGAAATCGTCGAAGAAGATTACAGTGGGCTCGTGAACATTTGCTCTGGGAAGGTAGCCAGTGGTCTGTAGTGCTGTTATCGATGAGTCCCGATTCGGTCTACCGATTTTTGCAAATTGCTGCGAGACGGCAATCAAATGTTACGGCCATGCAGTTGATTTAAAAAGACTGCATGCACTACGATGCATGCACTGCACTACGATGAGGATATCGTCGAAGAAGATTACAGTGGGCTCGGGAACATTTGCTCTGGGAAGGTAGCCAGTGGTCTGTAGTGCTGTTATCGATGAGTCCCGATTCGGTTTCCATCCTGATTCGCTAAGAGTACGCGTATGGCGAACACCTGGTCGTGAGAGCCGCCTGCAACACCCTCAGGATGTACATCCATACCATGGCGGAACGATTATGGTTTGGGCGGGAATTCGTGTTGGTGGAAGAACAGACCTCGTTTGGATCAGAAACACCATGACCACTGAAAAATACCTCAACCAAGTGCTAGTACCAATAGTCTACCCACATCAACTACAAATGGATTTTTTTTTAAATTTATTTATTTATTTATAAATGGGTCAAGAATTCACGTCGACAATGCTCGTCCCGACAGCGCGAGTGGTCACCAGCTGGCTGCAGGAGCACGATGTATCGGTCTTAGACTGGCACGCGCAATCACCAGGCCTAAAGCCTATAGACCACGAGTGGGACATGCTCCAAAGAAGGGCTTTGAGGAATATACCTACAAACATTGTCACTGAAGAGCAACCTTTTTTGCATCTTTCTAGGACCTGAGACAATATCCTGCAGCAAGACATTGATAAGTTGATTCGATGCATGAATATGTAGTTGCAGGACCGTCGTTAACGTCATGCGATGCGTTTTACTGACTACTGATTTTCGCAAAATTGCAAATAACGGAATAATTTCGCTATATTTTTCAATTTTTCATGAAAAACACATTTATCGTTATTTTTGCCACTATACTACTTTTCGTCCTTACTAAAATAATTTATTTATAAGTACAAAAAAAAATTTGTGTTTTATTCTATAATCTACGCTAATAAATGGGCTTTTTAAAAATATAAAATTGTTGTATGTTATTCAGAAAAAACAGAAAATTAAGAATAATTAAAATATCCCTAGACGATGTTGATGTGAGTACATACATACATAGATACAGTAGATACAGGTCAAACTGAGAACCTCCTTCTTTGAAGACAGTTAAAAAGCGCGCCAAGCTGCCCTGCGATTCTGTAACAATCCAGACCCGAATTCGAATTCACTCATGTGTCCGAATTCTAGTCATTTAGTAAAGAAATCATATTGATTCCATTTTTTGTATAAAAATACTAAACAAAATTGACTGATTAAACGTGTCATAGATATTTTAATCCTATATCATTTCGAAACTCACTTCACTTATTTCACGAAACATTATTACCAATTCAAGTTTGGGCGGATGCCGCTTTTCGAAGTGAATTCGGACACCCTAGTGATTTCGAAATCGGGTTTGAAGTTTTACAGAATCGCAGGGCTGATCAGCGATCCTATGTATTTAATATATTTAAAACTGTATTAAAAATTGTGGTCATCCTAAGATAATAGCGTAATAACACATAACTATTTCACTTTATTTTAAACGATATAATGTATATTAATTATTACAGATTACATAAATAAAATCTTTTTTAAATTTTATCCGAGACGAAAATTCCTTGTAAATAGTTGCAACTCCGATAACGTCACACGCTAGTAAATATGCTTCCTGTTGGCGGTTGTAGTTTGATGAGGTTTATTTACTTGCGTGTGATATCATACGCGCCGTTATGACGGCGCAAGACAGACCAGCGTTTTTTGCGCGGTTTCGGAAATTCAAACTTCAACTTTGTATTTTATTGATAAGCACAGTAATTTCCCAGACATATTAATTAAATGTGCTTTTTATGCAATAAAAAATAATTTGAAAAGATTCTTCAAAATTAGTCAAATACCCTATTGTGAATAAGAAAATGGCAAATGCTACATCTTCTCATTTTACTTTACTAAGAGGAACCCAAAAAATATGTTTGTATCATATTCAAAGACAAACGCAACAGTGTCTAGCAGATTTGAATAAGTATAAACACTAAGTACAAACGACTGTTATGTTTTAATAACGACTTCCAAGTTCTAATGAATGTTCTAAATTAAAAATGTTATATTTGTATTGTCGCTTTAAACTAATGATAATTTTATGGTCAAACTAAAGGAAGAACCAATATAGTGTTATTAATAAACCAGGTTTAGCGTTGAAGTAAATGTACGCTAACTGCGTCAAAATTAATAACAATGAATTAGACTGATACTAAAATTGGAATATTAGCGTAAATTTACTCGGATGCAAAAATTTGTTTATTAATAGCACTGATAGAATTTAGTGTCTACACCAAGTCTACACACTTCACACGTGAAGTGTAGGTGAAAAGGTAGGTGTAACTGTATTTGCCATTCAATAAAAACTGCAACTTATGTAAAAATATTTATTGAGATTATTAATATTTAGATACATGTACTTGTGGAGCGCAAAAACTTTAGAACTTTGTTATAATGAATGGATTTGCATTGCCTAAAGTATAAAAGTACTAACACTCCACTATTTACGTAGCAGCCGATATTTTATTATTACTAAAAAAGAAATATATCCTTACAGAATGTATAAAAATAAATACATTAACAATAAACACAAACGATCAAAGGACGGATCAATATAATCACACTAGATAATTTAAGACAATTCAATAGATATTACTTAAGTACATTTATAAAAAATATCAAGTCTGTTGGAAATTCTTTGTCAGAAGATCATTATCGACTACATTATAAGTACATACATTCGGTCCATATATGTCATCACTTTTATAAACAAAGTATTGTATTTTACTTCAAATCGAAAAACAATATTTTTTTACAGAATAAATAAATTGCAGATTATAAGGGGATATTTGAAGGCGCCTGTGCCAGCAAGAATATGGATGTGGGGAATGTGAAGAGAGGAAGATATAAGAAAATATGGATAGACTGTAAAATTAAAGATTATATCTATACTAATATTATAATAAGGAAAAAATTGATTTATTTATCTGCATTGATTATGAACTGTGAAAGTACTGGACTGATTTTAAAATAGAAGGTAACAGAATTTTGAATGCCGAATAGCCGCCTGTTCTAGAGGCATGGAAGAAGTCATAGGGGATAAATACAATCTGTTAAGTACTGGAATTTTCAACTGACCATACAAAGACTTCTTATAAAGATGACCATTTACAATAAAACATTTTTTAAATTACTATTTAAATAACACTTAATTTTAAATTTACATTTAAATATGTATATGGAAGACGTTTACATAGTAAATAGTAAATGACGGAGTCCATTTATTTATATACCAGCAAAACTATATAATTCAGGCTATCCAGTATTGTGTAAAATGCCTAGATAAAGTCTGAAATAATTTTAGTTTCATGCTTCCCCATCCTTTCTCTGACGTTATACGCTTTCAATATATTACACAGATTGCCAATAACATACCTAGAACCAAGTGAGACAATATCCTTCAGAAATCTTTCAAAACAAAAGAAATAAAAATACATTATCATTAAGTACATAGACAATAGACGTGTACAATTACAAAAATAACACATATAAAATAAAAAAATAATACAATTTATATTAATACAAATTAGTCAATGCATTACATACACATCAACGATAGAATCTACAATCTTTTATTTTACTCTCCTTACAATCTACTTGAACATAAATATTACATTTGGTATGTATATTGAATAAATGCAGCAGAAAAGGTTAAATCATTTCATTCTTTTTCACAACCAATAATTTTTTAACATTAAAACAGTAAGAAAGTTTTTTTTCAGCCCATTTTGTCGATAATGTTATATGAAAAAGTTAAATTAGCATAAACACAAAAGTAAATTCTCTTAAAACAGCCATATAAGAAACATTACTATTCCAAAATCAAAACTACTTTTGCTATGGCAACAGAAAATAATAAAGGTCCCATCATCATGCAGATTGCATATTATATATATTTTTGAAGAGCTCCAATTCATAACTAAGCCTTTGAAGTCACAAGCGACTACAGAATTCATCGACAGTAAGCTTGTACAAAAAACACATTTATAAACATTCGCGAAAGTTTTTTAAATGTGTTTTGTCACATACATTTATAAACGATTGAATAAAATTCACTACATCTTTTAAATAATATATGGACAGAACACAGTTGAGCAAACAGTTAGTACGTATAGTAAATATTACTAGTAAAATATGAATTTTCAACAATATTATATTGCTTACATGGTAAATGCTTCATATATAAGTCCAAGGTAAATTGTGTTGGTATTGTTATGTAAAATGGAATGAACTCACTACATTTCATCATGCTTTGAAGTTTGTTTATCAGTATTATCCTTTTTATTGCGGCGATTTCTCCTGTAAAATATAAAAAAGTGGCAGAACATATTACGAAATAAATGATTCTGCTAAATGTTTTAAATGCTTCATTTTAATTTACAGTAATTATAAATTCTCCAGCTAGATCAATTGGATAAAAGATACTGCAGGCATGCCTGGATCGTCTTACTTTTATAATGAAAGGCATATCATATACAGATAACACACTACTGTATCATGTTCGTTTACATTTCGCCATAAGTCATTAAAAAAGTAAAGCCACATAATAATAAAAATAATAACTATATTATAAGCATTTGGTATAGTCATCTATGTCTGAACATATATGAGTGTTTACTAGATACTTCATCTACTAAATTTCATGAATGAGAATTTTGTATCGTTACCTATGTTTACTGTTGGAGAGTATTTCATAGGCTTGCTGTATCTCCATGAAGCGTTCTTGTGCCGCTCTCCGGTGGGCAATGTCCTTTACTTTATCTGGATGGTTCTCACGGGAGAGGCGACGCCACGTCGACGTAATCTCCTGCTGACTAGCCTCTGGCCCAACCCCGAGAACCTACAGAATAAAATAATAATAATTCATACAAGTAATTCATAAAACACCACATTCAAAATATGTAACATCAATACATAACAAACATTATTGATTTTGAGCTGAATATGTTTGAGTGTGTTTAGCTGTTATTACTTTTTACATTTAAAAAACAATTTAGAGATAGCTTTTACTGATACTGGTTTCTGTTATAAGTAGTCTTATTTTGCTTTTACTTATTTTAAAGATAATAATTTAATACATTTTCAGTAACCTTATAAGCGTTTTGTTCCCCATGTGGATCTGAGAGATCTATGACTTGCTTCCACACTTCATACCAGCCATGATGTTGTGCATATATGTAAATGTCATAGATGCATTGCTTCGCGTCCAGCCACCTTACAAAACAATTTCTTTATAATAAAAACTTTTAGTAGAGTGATTATTAAAAACATGATAAAATATATAACATAACAGTGACACTTACCAAGGGCTACTGAAGAAATGTTCTAAAGCTTCATAAATTGGGACTTCATTGCCTTCACTGTCTGTAATGTTTCCATGAAAGTACAAGTAGCTGACCCAAAGAGAAAGGTACAAACATGCGCACACTGATAAAACAGCTACTCGCCTGTTGGATTAGAAGAAATAACTAATTTACATAGTGACATATATACCCATGCTGAAAAAACCTATAACTGAAGATTTTTTTCAAAAATGACTTGAAATTTCAAGCTGCATCCACTGGTAAAACCCATTTTGTTTTTGTGAAAATTATCAGTTCACAATTTTTATTCACATGGGTGCGATAGATCAGTAGTATATAAATCAGATTTACAATACTGTATCACCCCAACACCATTATAATGTACTGCCCATAAAACTTGTCAAATAAAAAAAAATCCCTAACTTATTTAGGAAATAGAAAACTAGGTACATTAAAAAATACTTACTTAACCACATGCTTCTTCTGCACAGGTGTCTTGCGCCACTCTTTTGAGAAGCTGTCAAAGGCAAGAGCAGATGCCAACACCATAAGTGTAAACCAAATGGTCTCATCATAAACATAATACCGGAGGAAGTATGTCAAATATGCTGTTACGAGGGGCCATTTGATACTACCCTTCTCTCTTCCTATATTACCCACAGTCCATACACCTACAGCAAAAAGACACTCATTATAAAACTCTAAAAATGTAAATGTATTTCAGTAAAATATATATAAGCGAAAAAGACTCAAAGTATTATAGATGAAATACTATATTTTCATATGAGAGAAGTAATTAGTTGTTACCCAGGGCTGCAGCCAGTGGTATGAGATAATTCAGGTATCTGAAATTAATACCCCACAGCTCATCAGGAGGCACCGCAAACATCATCATTTGACCCCAAGAATAGCCAACCATCAGCATGCCAGTGAAACGGTTCATAGAGAATGGTGGCTAAATTAAACAAACATTAATTTAATATGTACTCATAAAATAATTACACATACCAAATTATTTTGTATTTTAAATATTTTAATGTGACCTAATGTTTATGACCTTTGGGGAACATATGGGTTTTGTATTACACAAAGTTAAATACTAATTACACTTGCTCCATCTTTGGACTGTACTTGAATAAAAATCACCGGCTATCAATTGATAGCTGGTCTGACAGAATTCAAAACAAGAAAACCAGTCTAACAGTAAATTTAAAATCTTGCACAAGAAAACAGCTAACATCATTCATGAACATGGAATATAATACTTATAAATTGATGTACAATTATGAAACTTTAAAACTTTATGAACTAATTAATATGCAAGCATGAAAGACTGAAAACAATGTCACTTTTTATTTCACAATCATCAAATACAAACCTTTTTACTTCGGCTTATTCTTATCATCAGCTCTTTCATGTGGTCTGGATCCCCGTTTGCATCGCGTACATACCGGGGTATCCGAAATATCTCACCAAGCCACCCGATTCCGAAACCACCGAGGGTCGTCCACCAAACAAACGCATGTTTATCTCTACGCAAGTAAAAATGATGCACACCGAATATGCCACCAAATAACCATAGTACGTAAGCCCAAATCACCGATTTATTATTTGGAACATGGTCTTCTTTTGCAGACATTCTAAAAATTTTAGAAATACTAAGAATAAAACCCGTACAAACACAACTAGTCAGTTTCTTAAACAGGTTTTATAATTATTTCGTATCTAACAATTTTATTGTAAAGAACTAATAAAATTTTAAGCAACTTTTATGACAATATTAGAAATACAATACATTACTAAACTTTAAATATGTGTCGACGCCGCCTTACTACAAACAAGCAACTTGACATCATTTGACATCAAGTTCACCAAACGTGAAGCGTGACGTGTGATTTTTTTTTTTTAATATTAATATAATTCTTAACTCGGATACAACTCTATTTTAACTACTACTGCTTAACTACTTTTTTTCTAATATTATATTTGACTTTTTTCTGAAGACTATTTTAAATGGTAAAAACACTGTCAATCTTAGACTACATATTATAAGCAAGCATATAAATAGTTTACGAAATATGTAAATAGCATTACAGAAGGGAAATTGAAGTTAAATTTTAAGTTTTCTATTTTTATCTACTCTGGTTTTATTTATGAGCTACAAATTGTATGTATACATATGTATATCTCAGTGCTAATAAAGATGCGCAAAATTTGTATACCATATAGGTATACAACTCTATGTATACCATATAGCTACACAAATTTTGCGCATCTTTATTAGCACCGTTTTGACATGACAGCTTCCTGTTTACATGTGACGTCACATTCCTGTAAATAGAACCTGTTATTGGTTGCACCCACGACCGAAATTACAGGGCGTTTTCGTCGTTTGATCAAAATTCCTAAAAATTATTTTTTCTTATTTAACATATTCTTATAAAACATTTTCTTTATGTTAATTTACTAAAGCTAAACATATTTTGCCTGCAGATTCTAAAAAATAAAATTTATTAGATTATTATCTAACAGGATGACCATAATACGCAACTTATTTTTAATAGTGTCAAAACTCAAATACCATATTACCGGTTTACAACTTAGACATAAAAAAAAGCCTAAACTTGAAATGCAAATTCTCCGGTGGCCGACAACGGTCATAGGGCGCGACTCATGATATCGATATGTGTATCGACATTGAAGTCATATTAAATAAAAGTTAGTACTTCATGAAACTGCTACAAAACTACTACTTATTAAATAATGTAATATAATTTCATGGCCATACTACTACCTATTACTCTTCTATTAATTTCACACTTACTTACCCAATAATTTTTTAAATCAGTCAAGGGGTTTCAAAGTCCACTCGACATTCAAATCTTCTCTCTTTATAATAAGAATCTAGACTAGTTTTCCGACACTGGCTTAAAAGTAAATATTTAACTTGGGCGTACAATTATTCATGTTTAATTTAAATTTTAAATTTCATCAAAATCCGTTCAGTAACCTATGCATGACAGTAACAAACCTCACACACTTTCACATTGATATTATGTTAATAGTATTTTATTTTATAATATGGTTGTACCTAGAGATCTGTTTCTTCATAAACTATCAATTCTTAAATATATATCTTGAAAGTTTTTTGCAGATTCACAATAATGTCAATCGTTTTTATAATTATTTCCATATATATTGTAAAGTTGTCATTTTGCAATCATAATTTTTAATTTAAATTTAATCTTACAGCCACGGTGACACACTGCCCAAGATCACTACCACCTACCTATAATAAATGTTTGTGGTAAATATCATGCTCTTTGTTGTGACTAAAAATATTTCTTATAAAATCGTCATAATATTATATTTTCTAAATCATATGAGGTATATCTTTAATCAACCCCGAGATTTCATAGCAATCAAGGTCGAATTGTGCGTATTCGGATTGCCAAATAATAGCACTGATATTTGATTAGCAATGCATCATCTCACAATATTACTATATTTCAAGTTCGATTAAAAGAACTTTCCGTAAAATGAGGTGCGCAGATAAAAGTAGCTTTTGTATCATACCTAATATTTTCTTCTCCATATTTTTCTTCTTTTTGTTTAATTTTTTGGTAATCTAAAATCTTTTTTGAAAAGGGTAAAAGAAAACATTATTGTCGATGCGTGACAGAGTTGTGATCTTCCTTATTCTATCTGTGATTCAAACGCAATTGATTCCCATTTTCTGGATTATAATGGTGCTAATGGTTTATCCCCTACTAATATGAGTTATTTTAAGACTTCTCGTTGCGGCAGTTCAGTGTTTAATTTGAGTCCTGTGGCTGAAAGTGAGGTGGCGCAGTTTGTTCTTTCTTATAAGTCCAATGTCCACGTGGTAACGATGGATTAAGTAGGGACATGGTCTTGTTAACACTGCCATGGACACTAAGTGTAATAACGACCATTATGATTAAGTATTTTAAAAAAACGAAAGCACTAAAAAAGCACTTCCACTAGATGGCGACCCTAGCAAAAGTTGATTTTTGCAGGAACCAAAGACAGTCATTTCCGTTCCTTTTAACTAACATATTAAAAAAATGAAATTATAAAAGTTCGAAACTTAATTATCAATACAAATATGAAAAAGTACAAATAGAATATGAATTGTTTATTGAGTTTTGAAACGAATTTATTTTTAAATATGAAAGAAAACCGGAAGTGTTGTCATAGAGAAATCAAGAACGTACCGTAGCAACATCTTGTTTGGATTTAAATACTTCCTCGTTAATTTGTCCTATACTTCAGCCACCTTTCCTACCGGATGGAAGCATGCTATGGTAACACCTCTTCCCAAGATGAGTCATCCATCTGATTTGAGGGACCTTAGGCCAATAAGTACCCTGCCGTTTTTATCGAAAATTTTGGAAAAGGTAGCGTACACGCATCTGTACAAAAAAAATGAAATTAGAAAGAGTTTATTTCGATATATACGAGGGTGGATTGAAATGTTCGCGGCCTCAGCAAGAAAACAATATAAAATATAAGCAAAAGTACGAGTAATTTTATTTTTCCACGTAATCTCCACTTAACTCTATGCACTTCTTCCATCTGGTTTCCAACGCTTGTATACCGGTCATAAAAAAAGTTTCTTCGAGGCCTTCCAAAAAGTTACCCAGCGCAGTTTCGACCTCCTCATTTGATGAAAATTTTTGACCTCCAAGGGGTTTTTTTTAGGTTTGGGAATAAATAAAAATCTGAAGGCGCCAAATCAGGAGAATAGGCGTGATGGGGCAGTAATTCAAAGCCACAATCACGAATTTGAACCATAGATTCAACAGACGTGTGAACGCGTGCATTATCATTTATGCTGAGCTTTCTGATGAAACAACACTTTCTTGCTGAGTAATCCTGGTCTTTTCTCTTTGATTGTTTTGCGTAAGCGACGTAAGAGGGTGCAGTAATGAGCCGAGTTTATAGGCGAAACTTTTGCAAGGTAGTCCACAATGATGACACCCTTAGCATCCCAAAAAACTGACGCCATCACCTTGCCAGCCGACAAAATTATTTTGGCTTTTTTTGGAATCGGTTCATCACGTTTTTTCCACTACTTGGACCATTGTTACAAATCTGGATAAAAAATGTTGTGGATCAGCTTCAAATATTTCCAAACATTCGCGAGAAATCGTATTGGTTTTTGTTCGACTGAAAGCAATCTGCGCAGAAACCTTAGAAAATCAAAGTACATTGACTATGATGTTTTGTGTTCGTTCATACGAGATGCCAATAGAGTCTGCAATCTCCCTTATGGTCAATCTCCGATCTGTCAATATCAGATCACAGATTTTCCCTATGTTTTCTTCAGTCGTAGACGTCATAGGCATAGTCTTCTCCAATACTCTATCGTCCGCGTTTAAATTCAGCAACCCACTTTTTCACACGGAGGAGATTACCCCAATGTTGTTGACATATCTTCGTGAATCTCTTTTAGGGGTTAGTATTTTTTTAAACAAATATTTGATGACCGCACGTTGCTGAATTGTCTCTATTCTTTAAAAGTGCTACACAAAGGCTCACAAAATTCAGTCTAATTAAAATACAGTTATTGCTATTGCGATAGAATTTTACAATTTGATAACCAGAGAGTAAACTAATCGAATGAGGTCTGTTTCATTGAAAAAGTTTAAGTATTTATGTGTTAGGCCGCGAACTTTTCAATCCACCCTTGTACAAATATTACCATATCACCAAAATATATTCAATTTCTCAAAAAATATGGCAATATCCCTGCTACATAAATAAATGAAAAGCTCAAAGGTGTAGTAGTTAGCGTGTTTGATATATGATTGCGGAGATTAAACGACGATCGTAATCGCCGATAATGGGATGGGTGGTCAAATTTTTTTCTAATGAGGAAGAATTTAAAAAATATTAAGAAACTACAAAAAATTATGTCAATAGATGGCAGCAAAAATTGTTTGATCTAAACGTCAATTCATGACGTTATTTGATAACTCAGATTAATATCGAGTTGAAATTTAACTAGTTCGAGTTATGCAAACGCAACTCGATTAATACAAAGTAATCTTTGAACAAATTTCTTTTTGATTTGTATAGAGGAAAATGGAAACTAACATAATGGAAGTGTGCACAGAGGTTTTTTTAAAATTTATGGAAATCATTTTAATTATTGCTGTGATATAATTAAAAGTGGCATTTATCTACGGCATACATTAATATAACCGCCAAATGGTTTTAATAAATAAAATACTTATGCCATAGTAGTAGGTTTTTATAAATGAAATACTTATGTAAAAATAAAATACTTATGTATCCGACGGAACAAAAAAACCGCGCGCACGGCAAGTGAATGGAGCCGGGTTCGCTTTGCCTTTGATAACCAGGGACGAATTCAGTTTGTCTATTTTTAGAATTCGTATTTTGTTATTGAATTTTCTTTTTAAAGACATTTCAAATAAGTAATCGAAGCCTTACTTATTGTTTTAACATAAAGTACATTTGTGATAATGGTTCATTATTATCACAAATGTACTTTATGTTAATGAATGATGTATTGGTTTAACTACTCATTAAAGCAGTTAAACCAATTTAGTTACAATTATCGTGTTATTTAGTTACAATTTTTTGGAAACTCTATTTGAAATAATGGAGTAACGTAATGTAAATTAGTTAACATTAGAATAATCTTTTTACAGTGATTTAATAAATGTTAGTCTATTAATTAATTTCAGCATTTTAACTGATTCGTTTAGTGATAGTCAGTTTGAAATTGTTAGTTAACTAACATTACTTAGTTTTGGTAGGGTTATTGAGAATAATCAGTAGAGATTTTCTACTTTTTTCAAATCAGAAACCGGCTGTTAGTCTGTTAATCGATTTATGCTTTTTGACTGCCTTGTTTAGTGATTGTCTAGTAGAATTTGCATACAAGCGGTCTTATAAATCATAAACTAGTTTATTTAGTTTTTAGAAATGAAGAAGTCAATCCGTTTAAAAACTTGTTCCTTAGTACGTCCCTCAGCAACAGCTGACTCAGGGTTGAACACTAATTTTTTTCCAAAAACTTTGTAATTTAATATCTCCGAAACTGTTTGACCTAGACATTTTTTTACATCATATTAAAGACAAATAGTTCTCTCCAGTCGTGTCAGTCTCTTCAGTCGTTCTGTTCCACCAAGTATTTCATGTATATCTATGGAACAAAAAACTAAAACCAAAAGGCTACGACTAAAAGGTCAATGATGTTATATGCTACAATAAAAACCCAATCCATTAAATATCATAATATAATAAATATCGTTTTCTTATTTAGAATGAACATTAAAAAATGCGTGATATCAATCGATATTGCGCATGCGCGTTATAGGGCTGTCAATACTTTGAAATTTAAACCTCCTCTATTATTAAATATCTTCATTTTAACACCTCCTCTATTTTTAAATATTTGTCAAATAAAATGAACGTTTGCATGTAACCTAACTTGAAACTTTCGGCTGTGTTGGTCATTTTGTTCCTCCCAGTATATATATAAAAAATTGAGTATCATTCGTTTAATAATTTCAAAATCTATACATGCTTTCTAAATTTTCCGCGAAACGCAAACTTTTGTCATGGCGTCGCTATGAACTCACTGCCCCCTGAAACTAATATCGTTCCATTAAGCATAAGATTTAAATAAGGTTACGTCACACGCTGTTTGGGGTCAGGTGAAAGAGGGTATAAAATATTTGTGATTTGTATTTTTAATTTAAGTAATATTATAAAAATATTTAGCATAAAAGTATGATTATCGGTAATAGTATATTAAAGACTGCCAGAAAAAAAAACGATAAATATTTATTTTCGTTTACTGTCTACCTGTATTATTGTTTGAAAAATAAAGTTCCACCGATGAAAATTTTAATGACTTACATATCAACCAAATGTCGATAAAACAGCATAGTTCGTTGCCTCCATCTAGTGAATTCAATGAATTAACAACAAAAAAAAATGTTTCAAGAACACAGAAGGATTGCCATCATAGTTGCACAGATGGGGTTATTGTAATATTATAGAGAAAGTATTCTTTGACAGTTCGGGTTCCGGGCTCCGGGCCAAAAGAGCAAACTTTAAGTTGGGCAGCGGGGTTGCAGATCAGAAATCGGTAATAATTGATGTATTGATTATTAAAACAATAAATAAATAATTGATTTTTATAAAAATAAATACGGTATTAAAATCGATTTCTACTTTGATATTTATATTTGATTATTTCTATTATCGATTATCATTCCTAGTGTCATTCAAACATTATGTTCGATAAAAGTACTCTTTCAGCAAGTCGCAATTTCATTTTACATGTAGAACTACTCTTTGATGTAGAAATTAACTTATTCATCGGCTGAAGGCCATGGAAGCCAAGGCCGGTAAAACCTTTAAAAAAAAAACTTATTCATTTGACGTTGACAGAAGAAGAAGTTGCTCAATCAAATTTAATTTTAATGCTCTGTCTGCTAAAACTGAAACATGTTTGACCCATGATAAATTTCTCATAAATGTAACTCCTAAAAATTTTGCTTCTTCACTAACTGGAAGTGAGATACCATACATCTTGAAATCATTGGCTTCCACTTATTGGGGTGCTGATCCAAAAATCTTGTTAATGTTATATAAATCTATAGTTCGTGCTCACTTTGAGTACAGCTTTATGTGTTACTCCTCCAATCATCATCTCATTGATAAACTGGAAAAAATCCAAAATAAAAACCTTAGACTCATCACAGGTGCAATGAACACAACACCTATAATATCTATGCAAATAGAATGTAATATTCCCCCTCTATTAATAAGATTCAAATATTTAAAATTTAAGTTTATAGTTAAGCTCTATAGAATAAACAATCAACCGCTTTTAAATAAATTACGTCAGAATCTACCCCAAATAACATCTTCATCAAATTCTAAATATCCATATATTTTACATGATCTCAATGAAACAATAACATTTATTAATCAATATAATATTTATTCTGATGAACATTGTGCTTGCTATAGTGGCTCATATGAAAGCAAATTTACCTCAATTGAAACGGTTATAAACACCGCATTGCAAACAAAACAAGATGTTTATGAGATGTTAAATACCTGGCCAGAACACGAAGTAATTTACACTGATGGTTCGAAAAGTGAATTTGGAGTCTCAGCAGCATTTTATCATAGTAAAATGAAATATGGCAAAGGCTACCGTTTACCAGCTATCCTCAGTATATTTTCGGCTGAAGCAATGGCAATTTTATTGGCTTTACAATATATTGAAACTGACATTATCTGTTCTAACAAAAACAATTTTCTTATAGTCTCCGACAGTATGTCTGTACTTAAAGCCCTTAATCGCTCAGGTTTTGAAAATAATAATTATTTACTTTATGAAATCAGAGAAATTTTAAACAAACTGACAATGACAAAACAAAAAGACGTAAAATTTATATGGACGCGAGCACATGTTGGTGTGGCGGGTAACGAAAAAGTCGATTTCCTTGCCCGTCTAACAAACACAACGGGAGGTAATATAAAAGATATACCTGTTTCTTGGCAAGATTTGTTACCTGAATATAGTAATAAAATTAATCAGCAATGGAATGAAGAAAATGTCATAATAACTCAGTCAAAAGGAACCTGGTATGCAAGCATTAATAAAGAAGTTAGACGAAAACCATGGTTTGCCGTCTCCAAGGACTATCTGCAAAGGAAATTTTATACGCAAATAACCAGATTGCGTTTTGGACATTGTAGGTCTAAGGCTCACTTGCACCGTATGCGCATTATAACATCCCCGATTTGCACTGAATGTTCATTACAAGAAGATCAATCGTTGGAACACATTTTCTTCACATGTCCTGCATTCAATTTACAACGTTTACTACTAATAGATCAGCTTTTAGACACTTCCAAGACCATCCCGCCCTCTCTTCAAGAAATTCTATCACACCCAGAAAACTTCATTCCTGTTTATAATTTTATTAATTCTACTGTTGGAGAAATTTAACCAATATTACAGACTTGATGCGTACATAAAATAAAAGAAAAGAAATAAACACGGAAGATCTGGCAGTATGGCTCAATCGCCTTCGCCTGTCCTTAGCGGACGAAGTTTACTACTACTCAAATTTAATTTTGTGCTAAAAATACTGTTTTTTACTTCGACAAAGAAAACCCCCATGGAAGATATTGAATAACAATAAAAGTATAATAACAATTGATAGCAAATTTTGTATAACCTGTTATTAAATAATTATTTCTAGTATTGATTTTCTTAATAAGTCGTCTGCGGGTGATCTCGAAAAAGAATTAAATAATAATATTCCACACTATCAAAATGCAAAGATGTATTCGAAGATTTTCTATATCAGTTTCGAAAAACGAGTCTTTTGTGGAAGAGATGCAGAAAAACTTCATACCTACAAGTCCCTTTCAAAGAACTTTGTTAGCATGGGGATCAGCAGCTGTATCCCTGTTAAATCCATATAGAGGTGATATGATTGCATGTTTAGGAGAAGTTACAGGAGAAAATGCTTTAAACCATATGAAAGCTAAAATGCTGGAAACATCGGAAGGATCAGAAATACTGTGGGAACGCCCTCGAATAAACTCAAAAACTGTTTCTTTTAATAAATTACTAGATTTGCCTGAAAATACTGTTGGCCGTGTTTATGCAGAGTTTATGCGGGATAATAATATTACTGCTGATTCTCGACTACCTGTTCAGTTTATATCTGACCCAGAGTTGGCTTATATAATGCAAAGATATAGAGAAGTTCATGATTTGGTTCATGCAACATTATTTATGAAAACCACAATGTTAGGTGAAGTAAGAAAAATTTCAAAGTAATTTTCATAATTAAGTCAATAGACATGATTCTCACTTCTTCTGAAATGGCAAACAAATCTTTTTTGCGTTTAGTAGTTGTATGTAGTAACTTATAGTTTCCAAATTTTGCCATTAATTTTTTTATCTTGTAAAATAATCTGACAAAACATTTTTACAATTCTTTTAGGTAACAATCAAATGGGTTGAAGGAATTCAAACAAAATTGCCAATGTGTATAAATGGTGGTATTTGGGGAGCAGGACGTCTAAAGCCTAAACACAGACATCTTTATCTTAGATACTACTTGCCCTGGGCTATTAAAACAGGAACTCGTGCTAAATTCATGCAAGGTAAAAAAAAAAGTTAATAACATATTAATCCTAAAATAATTCAGAACTTATTAATTTTTTTTATCATTCAATATATATTACATGCAAATAAATTAAACATGTATTTTTTAATAATTTTAATTTATTTATAGGTAAATTTGATAGGTAAAGTTTAGTTAAATATTTTTAGTTACAAGCCTACTTTAATTTTATAAAAGTAAATTAATCCAAGTAGGCTTGTTATTGTTAATAAAAGTGTGTCTGTCTTATTTTGAACATGTAATTACTGATTATGTCATCTGTAAAAAGTTATTTTAAGAAACTTCTCTGAATAAAGTATTTTTCATATTCATAAAGTGAAAAATGAAATGAGCAACTTGAGCTCTTTCAAATGAAAGTTGCGGCTCTATGTAGACAGTAATGGAAATAAATCCATTTTTTTACTATTTAATATGCTATTACCGATAATCACACTCTAGCAATGGTTAAGTACCCATACCATAATACATTTTCATATTTGTTTATTTTACATTTAATTTGAAATATAATATGAATAATATTGAAGCTAAATAAAATTTTGTAAATAGTAGCTTTTGACTCTTCTGTCTCATAAGGTGGCCAGCCCCTGACTTAGATCAATATGTGGCACATGTGTTTTCTTTGTCGACCACTCTGTGGTGATGTAATCTGTGACATGTTTATTCATTTACCAATCAACTTACCAATAAGTTAAACATCATCCAATATACCAATAAATAGTGACCCAAAATACAGTAAAGTGGTGATCCCATACAAAGTGTGGTAAAAATATATTATTACTACCATTTTTATAAATAGTATTGTAACTACCATAATACCAATTATAATACCATTATAATACCAATATTATCTTTGCAGGTATATATTTTGAGAAAAGGTGGGACCAAGATATAAATGAGTTCCATAAAGAAATGAATATCATAAGATTGTTAAAGAAATGATTTAGTCCACTGACTTTGTGGTTAACTTAGTGGTTAATGATAATAAATATTAATACAATGTTTTTTCTGTCAAATAAAATATCGTATTTTATCTTAGACTTTTAGGCAATTTTAGATTAAAGCGACATTACCTTTATAATTTTGACATTCATAAGAGCTTATAGGCTTCATTAAAGCTTAATGCATGTTTGTGAAAAAATCTGAAGAAATCTGCCCTAAAGAAAAAGTAATTTGCTTCTTATACAGTTGGAAAAATTAAGAGTAAAAATATACAATGTAAAAATATTTGAAAAATTTACAACCAATGAGGCCACAGCAGGAAATCGGAGCCCCAACCAAGGTATTTTTGATTGTCTGCCACAGTGTGACCGATTGGGTAGATTTGAGACCTAAATTTTAACTCTGAAAGATTACGGTAACGATTTGAAAAGGATTTCAAGAATTTCTTAATTTTTTTTTAAATACATTTTAATGTGGAAGTATTTTAAATATAACATTAGTTCCCGAAATCAAACTAGATGTCGCTACGGTACGTTCTTGATTTCTCCATGACAACCTTTTCAGTGTTCTTTCAAGTTTAAAAGTAAATTAGTTTTTAAAACTCAATAAACAACTCACATTCTATTTGTACTTTTTCGTAATTGTATTGATATCTCAGTTTCGAACTTTTCAATTGTTTAATATGTTAGTTAAAAGGAACGGAAATAACAGTCTTTGGTCCATTCGTTTCCTGCAAAAAACAACTTGCTTGCTTTTTAGTGCTTTCTTTTTTTTTATACTTTATTCATTATGTATTTCTATTTCAAATAGGTACTTATGATTTTGAATGCTATATGGTAGGTAATGGTAACAAAAGAGTAGAAAACAAAATAGTGGGAAGCTAAATTTATTTTTGCTAGCAACACCAGACTCCATACAACGGCGCCACTGTCAAAATGACGTTAAAATGGAATTCCATGAAAATTGTTGCCCTAAAAAAGACATTCATTTTCTTCTCTTTTGTGTCGCACTGCACTTACTCCTAGGACACAGTAATATAATGGCATATTTTTGGCAGTTTCGAAGACGGGTTTGGCAGGTTTTAAGATAGTGTCGGGCAGATTTACCATTTTTGTGACGGGCACCCTGGTCTGCCAACCATGTAGACTTATTTATTATTTATTTTCTCATCACAAAGGTAGTTGAAATAGGTTGAAATTAAATAGGTTGAGGTACAGAGTTTCAATTACCAGAATTACCTTTGTGAAAGACTGGAGTCTGCGAAGGAACCGATTATGGCCTGAATTGCAGATCACCAGGCCCCCACATCACAAAAATAAAAAAATAAAATAAAATAACCTATATGTAGTTATAAGAAAATATAACTTAAATATTATAATTTGAGTGCGCGTGCGAGTGTGTGAGTGTGTGTGTGTGTGTGAGTGCGCGCGCGTGCTTGCGTGTGTGCGCGCGCGCGCGTGCTTGCGTGTGTGTATGTCTGTGCTTGATAAACCCAATACATATATAAAAAATGATTGTAATCATGACACTACAAGTAGCAGATTTTCTGTGGCATCGTAATCAAGTTGTTGTAGCCAGATCTGAATTGACAATTTAGCTTTTCTTTTGTTATGTTTATAGATATTGGTATTGATGGGATGTTGAAAATCTAGACAGAAACCAACCTTAAGTACAGCTCTCTGAGCTCTTTCGAGTTTTAAGAGTGTAGATTTTGAAGTACCCCCCCAGTTAGTAATACAATACGTTATTTGTGATTGACATAATGCAAAATAAATTAATCTAATGATGTGCTTATCGGTAACATGACGGAGAATTTTAAATATATACATTAGTTTTCTAATTCTCGTGGTAATGAGATCTATGTGGTTATGAAAGCTTAATGTATTATATATTACTACTCCCAAGTACTTAATGGAATTTACTTTTTCTAATATTGGACACAAACAGTTGAATTTTGAAGAATTATCACAACTATGAACTTTAATTGAGTTATCTAAATACTGGGGCAAGGATGATTTTTTTATTGCAAAAGGAATAAATTTAGATTTATCTATGTTTAGAGATAGTCTATTAGTACTTAGCTAATCAAAAACTCTGTCAAATCCAAGCTGAGCCCACTGAAAGACCTCACTCCACGATTCACCAGCAAATAGAAGTGCCGTATCGTCTGCGAAAGAAACAATCTTACCATGGGGGAGCTCCAGATCAAATAAATCGTTTATATATGCTAAAAAAAGGGTAGCACCGATTATGCTGCCTTGAGGAACTCCATGGGTTATTTGTCGGTAATCACTGCAATATTCACCTATTTTACTTGTTGGACTCGATTGGTAAGATAATCAACCAGCAATTTTTGTTGCATTTGACGTATTCCTAGAGCTTCCAAGCTTTTTTATCAAAAGAGTGACAGAAACTGTATCGAAAGCTTTAGCTAGGTCTAGAAATATTACAATCACTTTTTTTGTTATGATTAAGGTTATCCGCTATAAAATCTGATGTACAGCTTCATTAGTAGATAATTGAGAACGAAACCCGTATTGACAAGGAGATAACAATCTGTTAGAAAATATTTAATAAGTCTTTTATTTATTACTTTTTCAAAAATTTTAGATATTGTAGGTAAAATTGATATTGGTCTGTAGTTTACACAGCTTCTGTCACCACTTTTGTATATAAGATGAATTATAGCTTTTTGAAATCATTGAGAAACATCCCCGTTGACATAAAAGGTTACATAAGTGTGTCAATATGGGGACTAGAATATCTCTGTAACGTTTTAAGAATGCTGATTGTATATTACCATACCCGCTGGCACAATTGTCTTTTAAGTTTTTAATTATACTATCGATTTCACTATTATCAGCTGGTAGAAGAACAAAAGAGCGGGGATATGTTTTTAAAGGGGTACTATAGAAGGATTTTGAAGAATTTATTTTCTCTGCTAATTTACTACCAATGTGTACAAAGAAAGAGTTTATGTTATTGATTTCGATATTTGGTTCATTAGAGATTTAATCTATTGGAACTTTTTTAGATTTGTTCAAGTTAGATACTTTTTTTACTGTTTCCCAAACTTTATTGTTTCTTCTTTTGGCGGCTAAGAGTAATTGGGATCTTTCGTATTGTCTGCTAAGGTTTTTTAAAAGTTGATTGCAAAAGTGACGGTATCTTTTGTACGTTATTTTTATTATTTCATTATTAGGATTTCTTTTGGATTTTTTATTTAATTGATCACGATTTTTAATACATTTAAGAAGCCCTGGAGTAATCCATGGTTTGAGTATGCGTTTCCGATTAGGTGTTAACTGCATAACCATGTAGACTGCTGTTCAACCGACTTCAACGTGCCCCTCGACGCCTTTGAGCAGGCGGTGGTAACTTCATACAAGTGTAAAATTATACCTAGAGGGGCAAAATTTTATGATGAAAGACCCAAATAATCTTTCATAATACCATATTTTTAACTAGCAACTAAGATTTAATAGTATGGCAATGAAATGAATCTGCAGTGTTGCCTCATGTTATTACTTTCACACATTTTAGTAGTCTCTGATAGTTTACCTTTTACCAAAAAATTCTGTTTATCCAAGTTTTTAATATTCAGAAATACATTTTATTAAGTCAAGTAAATAATATAGTTGACTTATATTTTTTTGAGTTGCAATCGTTTTAATTATATTAATTGGAAGGCATCATTGTTATAATTAGTAGTAGTTATTTTTTGTAACTGATTTGGTGTCGATAATGGCAATTTATTTTGTTGTTGTTCCCACTTGTTCCATGCGATTCTATCACAATTACTTATTTCCTGCATTTTCTTATCATTATAACGTCGAGATGAGCTTTTGTTCCTCTTTTTAATGTGCTTAGAAAGTGGATTCATAGTTATTTGTGAAATTTGAGATAGTGACTCTTTGCTGTTGTTGTGGTTGTTGAAAATATGGCTGATAAAGAAAACAGAAGAAAATGTTTTAAGTGTGGACGTTCGCCAACCCAGCATAATGTAAAGCTCTTTCGTTTTCCGAAGCCGGCTAAAAGGAATCTTATACGGTACTTGCTTTAATCTTCTATTTATAGATTTGCAAACTAATGAATAGTACGTGAAGTTCCGCTACATTTTAACAAGAGAATATACCCATTATGTAATGCTAGTGTTAGTTATTTTATTAGAAGTAGAGTTAGAATTGACATAAATACTTGTATTTAGTTGTAAAAAATATGACTTGAGTCAAAGAGCTTCAGTATTAGGTATGTCATACTATTTTGTATGAAAGAATTTTATGTTATTTCTGATAAAAGTGATGATGTAGGTGAAGGTGATTAACGATGTTTTCGATTACGAACTATAAATTAAAATTAGTTTGTTATAAAATTCTTAGGAAAATGTAGCTCTATCTCTTGTACTATAAGGATATAACATTCTTAATTTCATTGTATTTGTTTTCAGATGTGAATCGTGGGCTTACTATATTTTCCACAAAGGACGGTATTCATCAACAGAATTCCAAATGAAATTGTACACTGAACATAGAATGCTGTATCAAAATCATTTTCTTGATAATTTGGTGCACACATTAAAATAATTCTGAAGGCTTGTAAATCAATGTTGAATTAAAGTTAAAAATCAAACAGTATCTTGAAAATCCACTTAATTTGTGTAATAAAGTGGTATGTTAAATAATAATAAAATAGAGCGTGTTATTATTGTCTGCTTGTATTATATCCCCTTTTTGAAGTAGTCCCTATATTTCACCTAGATTAACTACCAAATTACTAAAACCTATGTTCCTTGTGGATGTTTTTCGTTTGTGGAATTTGTTTATGTTATAGATTTCGTATACGAAAAATATTCACAGAAAACATTGGTTTTAGTAATTTACCAAATTACTAAAACCAATGTTTTCTGTGAATAGTTAATATGAAACCAAAGTATAAAAGTAAGTATTTAAACTTCCCGCTATACTACTTGTTTCGGGGGGCTAACTATAGGTGGAGCTAGTTTCTATGGATAATATTT